CATTTCACTGTGTGATAATTGCTGATATTATATTTTTTCAGGGCAGCCGATGTAACACTGCATCAAGCTGGATCTGTTCCCAAAAATGAATTTCTGACAGATTTAGAAAAACTTGATGTAAGTATTTGACTGATATTTGATTGTCTACAGACTGAATATACAAGTTTCAAGTTCACAGGATTGTTCATCCCTGGTTACTACATTGAGTAATAGACATGCTTGTATGTGTTGCTCTTGGAATATCTTACAAAAATATGTAATGATACCAAAAGAATATATATTTTGTCCAACTTCATTGTGTGTGTATGAATGTGAAACACATTTTCTATTTTTTCAATGAAAAGTTTATAAACTTGCAGCGGTAACCTGGATACTTACAATAAAGAATCAACATGTTTGAATCTTTTGTAGTGAAATATCAACCTCATACTGCTTATTTCTGCTAACCCGAAGTGAATCTATGTAAATTCAACCCCTTCTCGTTTATTGATAATGAAATTCTTAGAACAATATTAATGAGTATTAGCCTGGGTTAAAAATGTACATTTTTCTGTGTTATTGTAATAACTACTAGCTTGTGATTACTCAATAGAAACTTCATTCTGGTGAACCAGAGGATGTTGAATCACAAGGGTCTCAAGGAAGTGCTGATGCCATGGAAATTGATGATGGAGAAAGAAATTCAAGAGAACCGGTAGATATGACAAAGAAGATTTACAACTTAGATTATCAAATAAATGTATGGTCTGATTACCTTAGACTTCATCTACATCCTAAGACTGTCAGTTTAGTACAGGAATATGAACATCAAAGGTAAGACCAAAATATGAACATTCACTGTCATTATTGGCATTATCAATCTTGTTCGTATTTGTTTATCATGCTCACAGTTCACTCAGGTGAATCTTAACCGTAAAATTCTATATTCTAACTACTGATTGAAATTATTCATAATAGTACCTATCTTGTGGTAGCATAGTAAAAACTGTGGATATCATGATGCTTAGGATGTGGAGAAATTACATGTTAACAAATTCTCTAAATATGCTTAAAATTAAGTACCTAGAGTATACATGTAATTGTTCTTAAGGGAATGAGGACAAACACAATGTACTATCTATTACAGTGAAAGTGAAAATTTCAATGCATTCACATATGGCTCACAAGTGATGAATAGCACCAAGTCAAGTGATGATATCGAAGATAGGATAAGATTCTTTACTGAGGAATCTGATCAACTGCAGGTATTATAATTCTAATTATTGCTGTAATCATTGGTTTCCTAAATCTTCTGATATTGTATTCATTTATTTCCACTACCCCTGGTACTATCATTTCATATTTGAATCATTTTCATTAATATGACATGTACTTATTTGATAAAGTTAACAACAGAATTTCCTTTACAAAACCATACAGCATCAAATATGATAATTTTAATTAAACTTACTAAATATTTCTCTTTTCACACTACATTTACAAATGTATAAACATGCATGTTGGTGGGTTTTATGACTGTAATTAAATGATTCTTGACTTTAAAAAGTGTGTACCAATTGTGTGTGTGTGCAGGAAGTAGCAATGTAACTGTATTTTAACAACATTGTATCATTTATATTCTCTGTTATTTTAGGGTTTCCAGTTTTCAGTAGATACATTCGATGGCTTCTCTGGTCTAGGATGCAAACTTGTAGAACAATTATCAGATGAATTCAGCAGTAAAAGTATTATCACATTTGCTACTTCTCCCGCTCATTTCCCAAATAGCGTAAGTACAACTGTCAACAATGGTACTTGGGTGACAAATACAATTTTATCCAGAAAATACCACAAACCTTATAGGTTTCACACCACAATTAGAATGTGTAACAAATCATGAGGTCATGTAGTCTTACACGAATGTAATCCACTCTATTTTGAAAACAACTTTTTGTAAGGCATGGCATTATTGCATTTCAAACTGTTCATAACTAACTTAGGGTTGTGAGTCAAAGTTAGTCAAACACCAGCTTGTTTTGAAATGGTGCACTGATTCATTTAATTTAAGCAGTCAACTTTGTGATATTGCTAATACTGGCAGTGTTTTATTACAGACTACGATAGAAGATAGTCAGCGTGTTATCAACAGTGTATTATCATATGATGGACTATGCAACCACAGTTCTCTCTGTCTACCACTATGTGTATCAAGTACTCTATGGAGACAACCTGGACTTGCAACAAACTTTCCTAATCTCATTTATGATGTAAGTACATCACTTTGCTTAACAAGTATGTTACTTAGTTCTGTAGCTGTTTGTGTTATGTTTTGCTATTAACTACATATGGAAGTCAGAGTTTTCTCTATTATGGTTTTCTCAGATTAGGATGCAATCATACATTTTTGAATCTCACAAAATCCCGGGAGTTAGGAGGATGGGGGTATATACAATATAAGTTAGGTTTTATGTGTACATAAGGGCAGGAAAACAAAATCCGACAGAATCCTGTTATACAAGTGGAGTTGGGAGGATTGTTGTAATAATAATAATCTTTATTATTGTTTTATACTTATATAAAGGCCAAAAAACTAAATCAATGTACACATTTACTTTAGTTGTTCTTGAAAATGTAATGTACATGCAAGGATATCTAGACTAATATCAATATGTGTGTTATTACAAATGTTAATTTGTTCCCACAAACAAAAATGTCGACATATATACGGTAACTATAAATGTAATTTTTTGCAGGCTAATTTAAATTATCACAGCAGTGCTATTTTAGCAATGGCACTTGAGACTGCTACCTTGCCGTATAGATTAGAGAATAATTGTATACAAATGAGTACAATAACAGATGCATTATCAACAATGGGACGAAAGGTGAGTCAGTTTCTGTCATCTCATAAATTAAGTGATAGTAATTACAATTACAACATAAAATGTACTGATGATTTATTTCTAATATGATTTCTTCCTTCCTTCAGTTGTCTTCTCTATCAGTTTCCCTGCCTGTACCACTATCCACAGATTCATCATTAGCTGAAATGTTTAAGCATTACACTGACCTCTCTCCATGGCAACCCATTACACCATATTGTAGTCAAGCATCCCCTCAGAATTGTTTTGCACAAACGGTTTCATTAAGAGGGATACCCAAGCAGTTACTTAAAAGGTAAAGATATTTACATATTTGTGGATCTGATTCCTCTCTGTCAACATTTACAAATCCTGAAACAGGATTCTATTGTTATTTATTTTGTTCATTTTGTGAGGGGAATTTCTTTCTTATTGGTCTCAACACATGTTGCTTGTTGTATAATTATTGTGTCAAATTTCACTGAATGTTTACTTTTACATAAAATCCATGAAAATATTAAAATTACATTTGTTGATTTGACAAAACATTGTTTTGATCATCTTTACATGCGGCATATATATTGCATGAATTAACAGGTAGTCACATGAATGACACTCAAAGAGTTAGATATTTGGCACCGGTATATATTTAATTTTCCAGATTAAGAAGACAATATATATATTTTGGTAAAAAGGTAGTACCGTATGTCACTGGAATCACATGTCAATCATATCTGTATTTCTATTACAGTCCCCCAATAGAAGGAGTTGATTTGGACAATCCATTAGAAACATGTAGTAATATGGATGAAATGTTGAGAATGTATTTAACAACAGTCTTCTCTAGAACTTTCAAGTAGGTCTGATTTCATTATAACAAGTGTTGAAAACAGGTACAGCCCACAAACAGCATTCTGCCCACCCCATTTTGAATGTTTCTCTTCTTTGCAGACCCCCTCCATATTTTCTCTACCTTGGAGACTCCAACAGACATTTCCCCTACCTTTGGTTTTGCCCCTGCCCTTGATAAATTTCCTGAAATATTCCATTCCTCATATACCAAATCCCTTACCCTTACTGTTACTATTACAATTATTACACCACTGCCCTCATTAAATGCTAGCAAAGCAGTGAACAGCTGTGTTACCACATGTTTCTCACAGCTCCAGTCACAGCCAAGCATACTGTACTAGTGGTATCAATAGAACTAGATAGAATTCATGAGTAAATAAATAAATACAGGCACACATGTAGTAGTGCTTTTGATTTACTTCAGCATAGCAGGTTTCTGATAATACAGTCAATGATTGTGCAATACGTTCATATACAATCTATGTCTTTGCTTCACAGTGCTGGTGTATGTATTGAACAACCCTGTAAAACTGTAGCGCCATTTCCACTTTTATTTAATTCGAAAGTTACTACAAAGGGCCAAATAGATACTAGAGATAGAGAACCAGCAACAGGTACGTCAAATTAGTTACAAAAACCTCTTTCATTTGATTTGGATCACTTTAAACAAAAGCTCCAGTTGTTATTTGAATTTTGTATGCAATAATGTATTTAAACATCACGTACATGTACACATCTCATAGAACCTTTATGCCATTATCATGAACCACTATTAGAATCTGCTTCTGGTCATGAAGAATCGAGTGAAAAACCCAAACCAGTGCAATGTGAAAAAAAAAAAATCCAAAACTTAACAGGGAATTTATGTACAAAATCATTTTTTTAATCAAGTTCTTCTTTCTATAAATGTTGAGTGGCATCTCTGAACTAAATTTTATTTTGACCTCCATTTTGATTTATATATGCATGGTACTTTTGTGTCATAATTGTTTATACCTCTTGATTTCAGTTGTTGAAAGCATACCAGTGATGACATCAATGCAGTCATCATCCTGCCTTGGAGACTTACTTAGAACTTTACACAAAGAAGGTAGCAAACTTGACATGAAGAAGTTCCATCACTATTTAGATAGCGGTCTAGAACTAGATGACTATAAAGAATCATTAGATAAGTTAAAAGAACTTGCAGAGTGTTATGATATTGCTTAAATCATCAATAATATCATTGTGTAATCTTTGCCTTTGGTGTAAAATTAAAAGTTCATTGGCTATATCTCTTGCATATTTTAAGCTGCCATCCAGGATATCTGTCAATGCTGCGTTCCTGTGACATCATTATCATTCAAAATGACAGCTGGTTTGGTTGTGTAGTCACCATGTCAACATTAAGAATCAATTTGTTATTGACAGATGACTTTAGATCAACGCAGTAAGAATGATATGAACAGAATTGTTTTATCCATTTACATCAAGAAAAAGTTTTTGTCAGTAGAGGAAAGAAGTATTGTTATGAGGTGACAATTGTCATAAATAGAAGCAACTGTATAACCAGCTCAATTGTTTATTGGTCACTACCAATATGTGGTGCACCTCACTAAGGCTGGGCTGGTTTGTGTGGAGCAAAGAAAGAACATTTTGTTCATCAATATTGCTATTAAACGATAAAAAAATTGTATTTCTAAGGATGCAATAAAAATGTTATTGCTAGGAAGCCAAGGGTACCAATATTTAATCTGTTCAAGTCTAGAATGCAGCGATTGAGCCCATATTAGTTTGTTACACAGTAAATATTCAAATAGTGGTAATAATTCTCAGTTCCTTGAATACAAGACGTATGTGTATTTTGAAAGTTTTCTCTGTGTTTTGCGCATTGCATCACAGGAAATGTTGACATTTGCATAACACAATTGAAGAACTGATAGACGTTCTAATAAGTGTGTTGTATCAGGTATCAGGTATTGTATTACTAATATGATTTGGGGTTTAATATATCGGTCAATCAATATCCATACATTTTGATAAGTTGATGTGTTTCAGTGACGTGTAAAAATATACAACACAAGTTTGAATAGAGACTACAAATTAAACACCAAAAATACACAGCACACTGAATGGTAGAACAGACGTTCCATTGCATTTTCTTTTTGCCATTTTTAAAAAATTGTGTGGTTTGTGTGGTGTTAACTCCGGAAGTTCAAATGCTCTGTGGTTAATGTCAAATTGAACAGGCGTGCTGTATTCAAGATAGTGAGAATTTTCTAGTGACAACATAGAATGCCACAGAAGATATACATACATCGAAGGGGAAATGTGTGTTTTTACCCAATGTTTACATTTGAATTTTACTTGAGATGGGCAAAGAAATCAATACATTCGCTGTCATTTTTGAGCTGAAAGCCTACATGTTTAGATCCTAACAAATTATCCATGCTGTGGAAGAAATGTTTTCATCAATACAGGCACTAGAACCTCTTTAATTTCATAAATAGCTTACATTTGTCGTAGCAATTCATTGCCAAGTTGAATGTCAGTCTTGTGTGAGTGTATTGTTCAATATATAGATATACTTGACAATTAATGATAAGACTGAAGCTGTCCTTCAAATCATGTGAGTCCACAGTATGGTAATGTAATCAAATCATGCGACTCAACAGGTCCACAGTATGGTAATGTCATTT